GGACTGTGTTGTTATATATTCATGTAGTGTACATGACAGTGTTTGTGCACGTTTCAGGCTCATTACATAACATGCTGGAGCCACAAGTGGCCTTTTAAAAAAGCTCTGCACGACCAAATGCACAATTATTCTTGCTGTGTAAAACACCAAAAGCTGCCTTTTAGTGTAAGTTTGCCAGTTTGCATTAAGACACTGAAGAGAATTTGTTAATTATCTCTCTTATTATTGTGACTACAAGTAGGAACACAACCATACAAGTATGTCCTATACTGAAATATCTTTCTTTTTGCAAATTAGTAAGTTTATTTATAAAACACAGTAACAATGTGCCTCATAATGAAATGAAACTGAGCAACTGACATTAAATACAATCAGTAATGAATTGTAATTGAATTGAAAGTATGTAGTATGTGCATTTTAGCATACACAGACCTTCCTCAAACTATATGAATTGCTTGTGTGAAATTGTAATGAAGACCATTTTGATAATCAATCAACAGCTAAAGCCAACTAAAGGCCAAATCCATCCATGATCCTGCTTCTTATAGAGCACAGCAGTGATCGTTGCTGCATTTTTGCTGTTTGATGTGATAGTAAATGAAATATTTCTGGGTTTCTGTAATTTAAAGGAAAAAAAAAAAGCTTGGGATTTGGAAATTGTGATCACTATTTTCTGACATTTTATAAACCACACAATTTCAGTCGTTTTCAGTGCAGTCTGAAGAGGCAGGACACAACCAGAAAGTAAAAACTGAGGTCCTTTCCCCTTTTATTTTGAAATTCAATTGAGGATATATTTAATATGTAAATGCTGCACATTTTAGCCTAGATAGGACTTGAGCAAACACAGATGCCTCTTGCATAATTGTGTAATAGTGGAAGTAGTCATGAAATATTGCCCCATCTTGTCAAACATTGAATGTGTAAATGCTCTTCATTTGACCTGAGATTCGAAAAATCTTGCATATTTGTGGGTAAAAGTGGAAACATATATGAGAGAAAACTACAGAGGACATGTCTTGACTCCTCAGTGATAGCTTCAGCGCTGTGAAATTGACCCTGCAGCCCTTTCCTCTCATTTGACAGTACATGGAGGATGGGTATGTGGTTCTGGAAGGGCTGCTGAGCTCTCAGGAGTGTGACGAGCTGAGGCAAAGGATGGCAGAGATAGTGGACCAGATTGACGTCCCGGAGCACTGCCGCACCACCTTCTCCACCTATCACGACGAGCAGCTCAAAACACAGGTGACCTAATGCGCGGTACACCTTCAGATGAGTCTCAAACAGTGTCAGTGACTCACAGATTCATCCGACAATATTTCTTCCACATGCTTTCCATGATATTGCACTTGAAGATGCAGGTAAGGTTCCCCGCTTATGTGCAGTAAGGCAGTGTGTGACCCCATTCATGATAAAGCTTACGTAGCCTGTAGGTACATTACCCCTGCACTGATTCACAGTGTTTACCCCGACCCTAAATGCCTCCTCTCAGGCTAATAGCAAACTCTTGTGTCAACAGTCAGTCAATAAATAGTCAGTGTCAGTGAGGTGTCTCTCCGCTCTGTAACGCAACCATTCCCTGCTAGATCAAGTGACTGATAAACGTTGTTAACCTTTCGACCTGCAGGGAAATGCTGACTATTTCATAACCAGTGGAGATAAGATTCGCTTTTTCTTTGAGAAAGGAGTTTTTGATGACAAAGGTGAGCTCTATAAAAATTCTCTCTAGCCTTTTATACACAGTGCTGCTTTCTTTATTTAATCAGAGCCCGTATTTTTCTGTATGAAACAACAGGTACATGTTTATCAATTACATATATTTTTTTAAGGAAATCAATTGTGGGTTGAAAAGAGTAATATAAAAATGTCTTGTAAACATCAGATGGTACCTGTTATCACCCTAAAAAAATACTGGTTCTGATTAAATAAAGAGATAATAGAAAACTGCAAAATTCTTAGGAGGTTTACACACTTTCAAGCAGCACTGTATGGCGAAAAATGACAACTTAAATGGGGATTATGTCTTGCAGGGGAATTCATCGTACCAAAACAGCGATCACTAAATAAAGTCGGACATGGTAAGACTTCGAATCGCTTTCCCCCAATGTCACGCGCAAAGGATTTTTCCAAAAGTCCATAATTAATTCAAGTCTTTCTCTTTCAGCACTACATGCCTATGAACCATTGTACAAAAAGGTTACACATTCACCCAAGATTCAGGTGAGTGAGCTGTTGTACAATATCTGAGAATGATGTCCCGAGTCACAGAATAACCAACACTCACATTAAATGTTCTCTTAGGGCATAGCGAAGAAGCTGGGGCTTGCAAGTCCTGTGATACTGCAGAGCATGTTCATTTTTAAGGTAATATTTATAAATATTTATGTGTCTATGAAATGCTTTATAGTGTCAGAGGAGGCTATAAAGGAAATTCAGGATAAGATATAATTTTTATTTCTCTCTTTTACAGCAACCAGGGATTGGTGGGGAAGGTAAGACAACTAAATATATGTAAAAATAGACTCATGCAATAAACATTCTTGCCATGAAATACCCTCATAGCCGAGTTTTGTCTGTTTTGTAGTGACGCCGCATCAAGACGCCACCTTTCTGTACACGGAGCCTCTGGGCAGAGTTATGGGGGTGTGGATTGCCCTGGAGGATGCGACTGTTAACAATGGCTGCCTGTGGTTCATCCCGGGTTCACATAATAGTAAGCTCACAATATAACTAACCTCGCACTGGTGCTTCTAAAAGTAGTTGCTCCACTCAGTACCAAACACTGTATATAATAATCCTTCTTATATTATACATCACACCTTTTCCCAGGTGGTATTTCTCGACGTATGGTACGCACCCCACCGGGCACCTTTCCCCTGACAGACTTCACCGGTCGAGAGCAGACCTATGATGAAGAGAATTTTATCTCCGCACCTGTTAAAAAAGGTAATTCACTCGTGTCTTTGAATTTAAATAAGTAAATGAGAGGGGACATCAATTTGTATTTTCAAGCACTTTCTTAAAGCTGTGGGTTTGGTCAGCTGTCACACATTTCCAACCAGTCCTCAACCGCTCTGTGTTCAGGTGGTGTAGTCCTGATCCACGGAGAGGTGGTGCATCGCAGTGCTGAAAACACCTCCGAAGACTCTCGCCACGTCTACACCTTCCACATCATGGAAAGCAAGGACACCCGCTGGAGCCCCGACAACTGGTGAGAGTTTACTAGAATTGGGTAGCATTGTAAGGTTTCTTCTATTTCTTATTTCTATATACTTTAACTTGTGTTGTCTTATTACATCGCCTTACTAAGCTAACTTTCTTTGGTCTTTAAAGGTTGCAGCCCACTGAAGAGCTCCCTTTCCCGTCTCTCTACATTAAATGAAGGATGTTTTTGGCACAGCAGTTTATGGAAATATACTCAATCCTATCCTAAAGGAGGACCAAGATATAGAAGGACCAATATGTATGAACTGTTTTAACTATAGAAAATGTACTGCCATTCTCATGGCTTGTTTGTGTCCTGTATGGAACCATTTGTGGTACGTAGCCTGATGCAGAGTTACTGCGACAAAGTCAATACTGGATTAATAGTGACTCATTGTTATTTTTGATGAATATATCAATATTTTTAAATACTATTTTTTAATACAGTGAAATTTGAATAAACATTTTTAAACTTTTTGGCCATCTTTCCATGCACACTCCACAACACAACTGATATTTAGATGTACTTTTATTCAGCAACTCCTCATCAACATTGTTACCAACCAGCATTATTATTGTTCAAGGTTTTTTTAAATTTTTAAAATTTGTGTCAAAATGAAATGACAGATTCCGATTTTTAGACAACAGTAAGCCTATTTTCAAGTATGTTCATTTTTAAGACATAACTTAAATTAAAAAAACAACACAATTTAGTGTATGAATGATTATTAACCACAACATCCAAACCTCTTATGTTAATTTTGAAATCCAATTATGAAACCAAAGGGTTAATGCCCATGTTGTAAGTCATTCGGTCATTCACTGCTTCTCAATCAAGTGAGTGTTAAACAAAAGGACTAAAATAGGAGGCAATGTCTATCTTTCTTTGATGCACGTAACATGCAATATTATTTTTTATGTAAGGATGTTCGCAAAAACAACATACAAGTAGGATCATGCTAATAAATTGTACATGAAAAGAACCTTTACAGATGAACATGAAGCTATTCATGGGTTCATGCTGAAAACAAGTTTCAGGTTATAAACTGTAGCATCCTCATAAGAATGATGAGATGAAACCTGAAAGCAAATAGTCAATAATATGGATAAATTGTTACGAAACCAAGTCGCTCAAAACAAAAAGGGCTCATCATTTTGGCCCAAAGCATATCTACAGACTCCAAACATATGCAGGGTTTGTAGGCTCAGTATCACAAGGAAATGTATATATATTAAGTTTACCTTTAAGGGGTCCCAATAAACCTCAGAAATATTAAATAAAGTCAATTTACAAAACAAAAATATACTGTAGAATACCTGTGTACATGTTACAGTACTGAATTTCACATTAGTGTCATGCAGGAGCATAGAGAGTTTCTGCCACGTAGAAGTATAAATCAGCCCTTATGAAGAAGAGTTGAGAGGGGCTGCCATGCTTTCATCTACAGAATGTACAATAGTAGGTCATGTGTGATAGAAAATATACTTCTTAAGGCAAATATTTTCAGCAGTAAGTACTTCATATTGCCATCGGGGAGGCAAAACAATCTGATAACAAAAACGTTGATTAAGAAAAAGACATCAATAAGCTAACTTTTAAATAATGTTCTTCAAAGGCAATACAAAGGCATGTATCCGTTTGGGACAAGATAGGAAAACCTTCTCATTGATGATCAGAATTTGCCATTTTAGCAGCGTCTCTATTGTCCAGAATTCTGTGTTTAAAGGACTCCCCC